TTGGCCAACCATATTGACCATCTGTATTGTCTCACTATATTGACCATCTGTATTGGCGAACCATATTGACCAACTGTATTGGCCAACCATATTGACCAACTGTATTGGCCAACCATATTGACCAACTGTATTGACCAACTGTATTGGCCAACCATATTGACCAACTGTATTGGCCAACCATATTGACCAACTGTATTGGCCAACCATATTGACCATCTGTATTGTCTCACTATATTGACCATCTGTATTGGCGAACCATATTGACCAACTGTATTGGCCAACCATATTGACCAACTGTATTGGCCAACCATATTGACCAACTGTATTGGCCAACTATGGACCAGTAGTTCAGGTGCTTGGGAAGATCACTGATATACGTTAATTGTTTGAAGAAGTGTTGTCTAGGATGATAAGAATGAACTTCAATTAGTAAAGATTATGTATAGCCTATAAATAACTAAGGAGGAAGAGGTGAGGATACATAACATTTTCAGATTAAGTTACATTAGAAAAAGATAACCAACAAGCACCAAGTGGTACGGCTGAAGAATACTATATTGGTCAGAGCTTTCACAAGATTTTAAAAAAGCCAGAAGTATCAGGGGGGGTTCACTTTTTGAAAAATTCCAGGGGGGTTCACTTGTGAAAATTTTGGTCCAAAAATGGCCAAAATCACTTAAAAAGTGCTCAGAAAAAAAACTGCATGATTTTGAACGATTTTTTGGCCGGGGGGGGGGGGGTTCTCCCCTGGCTACGGGCCTGAGTATATATTCATAATGTAGATGAGATGTCTTGTTACTCTTATGTGCACAATAAAGTTTTCAGTTTGTGAACTGCAGCATGGTTCGTACTTGGAGGATTAAATCACATCAATTAATACCCTTTGCATTCGTTTGACTACACTTCTTAAAAGAGAGCTTCGTCTTCACTCTTTCAAACTAAAATAAACCTGTGAACTCACCGCGCCAATCAGTGTTCGTCGGCCAAATTTGACCGACGTTCTATATATGGTCAGTCCTTCTGACGTCGTCGTTGAGCCCGGAATTGACCAATGACACGCGCATATTTAATTAGAACGCATTTGGCGTATGTTTCTTCAAGCTCGCTGATTGGTGGAAGAAAGGTCAGCGCGTAGGTCAAAAGTGATTTATTACCCAAACTGTCACCGGTACCCGTCGTGGGGGTGGGGCTACTAAACTGTAATATAGTCTCTACTAGGCAGAGTGTAGTTTAACTAGACTCTGCACGCAGGGTAATCAATTAAAGGATTTCAGTAACAGATAGTTACTCTTGTAATTTCAGCCAGGTGGTGTCGTGTCAATAGTGGGAACTCTTGAGGTGATCATGTGAATTATGAAGAATATATGCTGGTTAGATAGGTAGTTAACACCATCACAATCCAAGCAATGAATATGGTTTTGTATCAATAGTCAATACCTATGCAATTTAATTGAAATCCAGGACCTCAAAAGTATAATACTTAGAACATGATTTATGACTAGACATTGCAATAGTGAAGTCTTACTTGAATGGCCTTCAGTATTCACATTTTCTCTATTGTATCTCTTTTCACTAACAAATCTACCAGGGTTTTAAGTAATTTTCAAATCATCAAGCACATCTAGAAGCTTGTTATTTCAATACAGGAAGATCACTGTTTCACCTGATATTATTCACAGGTCGTGTTGACACATATATTCTCAATGAATGAGATATTGAACAGATGAGGCTTAACACTTCCACAGAACATATTTTACAAACCTCTGGGGAAAACGGTTTGATTTCTGCATTGTTGCAAACTGCCATTCTGCGATTTTTCAAGATACAGTGAAACCTGTATATCCAAACATTTTCTAATCTGAACATGTCCCAATATGTAGACTCACACAATTAGAAATCCAGGAAATCTTAAACCTGCTAATCCGAACACTTTTGGCCGATCTCAGAGGTGTTCAGATTAGACATGTCTTACTATATATGCAATTTTATAATCCATGATCATACATATTGTATACAGTCAGGCCAGACTTAGTAGTTCTGTTATCACATCTTTCTGGATGCCGTTTTCAATCTTAAATTAAAAAGGAGATGTCTACTCTTTCAATTTTAACTTGAAACTTGATGTTATAGTGCCAAACAGTAAAATTATGGCACCATGTTATATTTAAGATGTTAACTAAGGGACAGTATGATAGTGGAGAGGGTGATCTAGTGCCCGAGGCACTGTACTACAAGTTCAAAAAGCAGTCTCTAATGAATACTTGTATGTTGCAATCTCTCAGAAAGCAAATACCTAGTATATAATCCATGTATTAGAGGGGTGTTCAATAAATACTAATAAAATGGTCTCATTTTCTTACGATCCTTATATATGCAGACATCTTTAATTTACAAACAAGGCAAAGAAAATAAGAGTAGTAATATAGTGGAAGTAGAATATGTAATTATAGGGGCTGCAGTATTATCTGAAATATATCACCTAGATTTTACTGCCTATTCCCTATATTGTCAGCTTTTCATGGTATTAAGCTTATTATAATAGTCATATATCATTGGATATATATTACACATGATAGCAATATCGGAATTGTGGCCAGACTACCATATTCTAACAAGGTGTAGAATCACTTTGCCTTTATTTTGCTATTCATTACTTGTAATGGTAAGAGTGGAATGGGAAATGATGAGTTTGAGGTAATAGTCTTCTCTCTTCATCTTATCTCATTTTATGTGTAGGTAGGTATCATTTGTTTTGATATTAGCAGCATTTTTATTATGATAACTAATCAATAATATCAGACAATGCCATATTTGTATATTGCCCCGTAGTAACATCATCTGACAGGCTTATGAATAAACCCTTAACACGTTTGATGAAAAATGAGACTATCAAAACTTAAGATGTGAAAGTCTTTTTATAAGAAGCAAAATGGTAAATTAAGAATTTTTTGATATGGTAATCATTTGTTGTAAGCAAACACCAGTTTGAAAAACATTTTATGAAGCATTTGTGATGATTTCTATTCTAAAACGTTTACTTTAGCAATGATTTCTGTGTTTTCTTTTCATATCAGGATGGATAGTTGAAAATGATACACTTATTTAAAGCTCTTGAAATCTAAAATGTAGTTTTTAACATATTTGAGGAGAATAGAGGGGATCATTTGGACAAATCTATGGCTATTACATATCTTGGGAGCACTTATGTTAGCAGGGAGATCTAGTTATTTTAAAGGAAGTGTGTTGATGTTGTGATACGATAGTATTTTCTTAAGCCATTCAAAACAAATAAGAACGTATGAATTAGAAATCATAGTTTAGCCCATTTCTTCTTGACCCGAGACTTTATTAAAAAATCACAGAAAATCTTAAAATGAAAGTAAGGATGATCACACCTGAAACAGATATTAGTACAAAATCAATAGGCCAGTCTAGCCTGGACACAATGATAATAGACTAGTACAAAATCAATAGGCCAGTCTAGCCTGGACACAATGATAATAGAAGACTAGTACAAAATCAATAGGCCAGTCTAGCCTGGACACAATGATAATAGAAGACTAGTACAAAATCAATAGGCCAGTCTAGCCTGGACACAATGATAATAGAAGACTAGTACAAAATCAATAGGCCAGTCTAGCCTGGACACAATGATAATAGAAGACTAGTACAAAATCAATAGGCCAGTCTAGCCTGGACACAATGATAATAGACTAGTACAAAATCAATAGGCCAGTCTAGCCTGGACACAATGATAATAGACAAGGCAATCTGGACTAGTATTTTATCAAACCCATCATCATCCCTTATTCTCCCTTTAGATTAACTGTTAACGCGAACACTGATGGAGGAAATAGTATTTGTGATTGTTTGGGGAAGGGGGGTTAATGTGAGACTATCATTCTATATATCATTCTATCTATATATGTAGGTCATCATATTATCAAGAGCCCTATCATAGCATTTTTAAAACATGGATTCCCCATATATGCTATTTTTGCTTTTTGAAAATCGAAGTTTGGAGCGTTCCAATAAAGGTGTATCTAATTGTTTATTCTTAAGGCCACTTACTAGTAACATTTGCATTTAGATCTTTGTTTTATAGCATGTTTCAATGTATTTGGATTATATATGACTGTAATAAATAAATGAAGAGTTAATGATTGATAATGTTAACTTATTTTATGTTTACACTGATTGAGTACTATCACTACATGTATAGTTATCACTCAGGAATACCTGAGTTATGAAATCAGACCTTCAAAATTCAGGAAATATATGAGAAATAAGTCACTATAGTATTATACACCCAAGAGGAAGCTTCCGCCTGGTTAGAACATCATTTGGTATGTTATAAATACTAATAGTACACAAATATATTTTAAGATATTGTTGAATGAAAAACATATTGAATTGATTTAATTGTTATTTTTGTAACATCCATTTGTTAAAGCCATGTGCTATTACAAAAGGGGAGTTATCTATATCTGTATTTTCTATGTCAAGTTCATTCTAGTTGAATAGCTTATAGGGATTTAAACCATACATACTTTAAAGGTTTATATTAATCTTAACCTTACACATGTACTTGTTCACTGTAAAGTAAAACACAAGAAAGTGTACTCTACCCCGCCGTGTAGAACCATACAGTACTGACTGATAGCATGAAGTTCGAATTGCCGTTATGTCTTAAAAATAGCTTAAACAAATATATTAAAGACTATTAAACTTTATTTACGTATGATAAGCATTAATTGAATTAGCTCAATGATGATGTGAACATTGTGAATCCCAGTTAGTTGACCATGAGTTAATTTAAGGTAAAACTGTACAGATACCTTCATTATGTAAATGCCAACAGGCAGCTAAAGGAAACAGGGTCTCCCATCATTTGACCAGCCAGGGAATAGATTAGATATGAAACATTGTTCCAAGACCTTTATAGCACATTATGATTTGATTGAATCACAATCTAACTTTACTTTTATAAATTTTTCTAGGTGTCATTTGCCAGCACCAGTATGGGCCCTAAGACTCCAACCAACACCCTGACGACGCCACGTGATGCCAAGGAGAAGAAGATTGGCCACAGGAGAGTGGACGAAGCAGGACAAGTTACCTATAAAAAGGTAAGGAACTAACATGTAATAGGACTGATCGGGTTGTTCGATTTACTCATTCTACTCAGATTACCCATTCTTTGAAATTACCCATTCTACTTAGATTACTCAATTGCTACCACTTTACTTTATTATTTTTTTACCCTTCAGTTATCATTTTGTTTATTCAATTTGCTTATAATGCTGCTGCAAGATGTTTTAAAGTAATGTCATGATAAATTCTTTGAACAAAAAAAAAAAGTTACCAGTTGTACTCAAGTAGATTACTCATTTGATTTGGATAGCCAATTCTACTAAAATAACTTATTCTACTAAGATTCCTTAGATTACTCATTTTACTCAGATTGGTCATTTTCTAACGTTTAAGCTTTGGATGGATTTGTACTATGTCCTCTAAGACCAGTCTATTTTAATCTTGGCCATTGTACCTAAAACTTTATCTCTCATTAGTTCAAGGGGTTGAATGGTCTAGCTACAAGCCTCTGTGACTTCCCCCCTCAACTTGACTAAACACCTTCTCACAAAGAAAACAAGTGAATGTACAACAAATGTATACCTTGTTGCGCAAGGGCTTGTAGCTAGACTAGGGGTAGAGAGGGGTCCTGATTATGGAGTTGCTATTCATTTGTTTCATTCATCTCATCATCTGAATTGTCTGTTAAATTATGGGAACTAACTGATACTTTAGAAAGGAGTGGTATCGATATGATGAACTTTTTGGATACACGTTCTCTTAAACCAGTCATAATCTAAAAATTTAACACATCATCAATTTAATGCTCATCTTTTGAATGGTAACGATATAATTTGAAAAATATATGTATACTTTCATCTATATTGTTTTAGAAAACACATCACTTGTTTTGTTCTTGGTATCAATGTTTCCAGAGTGAAATGAAACATCTTTCCGAACCTCATTGGAACAAAACGACATAAACACAACATGTTTAGGTCTCTCAATATTGTAATTGTATAAAGGAAATTTTGGTTGATTATAGAAAAGTATCTTGTAAATGAAATAAAAGATGAAAGACATTTTATTTCATTCTCAAGAATTGGTAGAAATGAACAAAAAACAATTGCACTAAAAAAAACAAAAAATGTTAACAAAAACAGTGATATAAAATATTTCTAAATAATTTTCGCATTAAATTGTTGGCAATCAGTCAACATTACATAAAATACCGTGTTTTTCTACAGAATGTTTTCAATAATTGGTTTTAGAGAAAAAACATTGTTGAAATCAGTTCACCATATCGATACCTATCCTTTTCTGCATTTGTATTCATCATATTGCATAAACATGATACTGACACCTGGTAAATATTATATTGCATTTTTTGCATTTAGGCTTTATTTGTTAATATTGAATCACATTCTTGCGATTAACACCTAAATGAGAATCAAAATTACAATCCATGTTTTTGTAGAAAGGAGAACCAGACAATGTTTGCCTCTTGGATGTTACCTCTTTTACAGACATTGTGTGTTATATATGTTTATTGAATTATTTTGTATATTCAAGGGCTTTATGAGCAGCAGGTGACATTTGATTTTCTAGTTCTTTATGTCACCACCACAAGTGGTGACATATTGTTAGGTTCTCCAACTTTTATGTTGATGGTGGTCGATGGTCAGTGATTGGAATTCAGTGTCTGTAACAATCTGCATTCAGCGGTGACATTTTGTCACTTTAAGGCCTTGTTCATACCTTTGTTATTTGAGGTTTCTTGAAAAAACTAGAAAACTGGAAGAATGTAAAACAATAATATCTGATAATGTGCCTGTTATTTTCATTTGTTTTACCTGCTGTCATTTCTAATACAACTCCTGTGTATGTCTTGTTGTTGCACCTAGGCAATGTTCATTTATTCATACATACTTGTAGTACTGTACATGTATACCTGTACTTAATATTTTTCACTGATTTAAAGAATAGATTAGAGGCCATGGTATATTTAAGGTCAGTCATTCTAAGATTTTCATTAATAAACAACGACATATAAGTGGAGCCCCCAGTATTGTTCACTGGGAATGTATTAGATAGTCACTTCAAGTTGAGCCATTTTTGGGGCTACATGTTAGACTGAAGAGTGACCCTGCATGTATAATATGATGAGTGTTCCAGTTATACACTTACTTGTTATAGTCAATTAGACTTTGTGTTCATAAAGATGTCACTGCTGTTCAGATAGCTTTGTGTCAACATGCACAGAACAGAGTAATGGAAGTTGTTCTTTTCAGTGAGATGAAACCCACTCAGATACATGATAGTACTTTTATCTACTAAGAGGAAACAGAAAATAATCATTACGTGTCACTAACCATTTCCTGGAATTGAAAATGATCTCATCATGTAAATGTCATTCCCAGCTGAAAGCATTTGTTTTCAACTAATTTTTACAAGTCCATCGGATCATCTTAGTTTTCCATGGTGATACAAGACATGGAACCAGCGAGAATTCCAAGATGTCTTAACATTTTTAAGATGATCAGTTTTGATAATTGCTTTGATGATTGAAAAGGTCATGTATGATTATAGGCAAGTCAACTTCAATGTTAAGTTCAGTTGCTTTAATTGTATCTGCCCATGACCTTCAGGGGAGCAACCTGATTTGTTCAGGAAATATATGTAAAACTCTGATTGTTTTGATGATCTCAGAAATTAAGAGTAGGGATTATAGACTCATCCATTGGTTTATGAGAATCTTGCCCAATATCTGCTGGAGAGTCATTTGGGATGCATCTGATTCTGGCTTAGGCTCTGACCTTTAGAAGGTAATAGTCTGCTGCTTGATTAACCAGTTTATTATGCCCTTAAGCTCCTCCATCTATAAGCAACTGGTTGCTATGACATGGTGTATATAAGGTGCAAATTATATTGACAACAACCCCCTCTGTCACAATGGTCGCTCATCCAGAACTTACAGTGAAATTTATTTAACCCCTTCAAGCTTTTTCTGTTTCAGGTCAAATTCATTAAATCATCTCTCAGTCTGGTCATCTATATACAATTAATTTGTATTATATACATAATTTAGTTTATGCGTTCATTTCGTTCCATTTCTGTTTTTGTTGAATAATTGTATCTATTTCACTTTGTAGAAGAGAGACAATTTAATTAGCAGGTTTCCAGACTGCCTTTTTCTATTATCTTCATAGTTAATCAAGGAACTGTACAGCGAGTGCTCAGTAGCATATTACAGATGTAATACTAGAGTGCACCTGAACCATTTGAAGATAGACTTTCATCCTTTGTTATTTGTTATCAATATTCTTATATACGTCATCAATAATATACTTCCTGAATGATTTAGTATACCATGAAGAGTGAGAGTTACATCTAGGATACTTTCATCACATGGTTCCTTTTCAAAATGCATGAAATGCAATGCTAATTTACTGATGAATCTACACTGTTCGATGTCATGCCTATATTATATATTATATATATAAATAGATCTTTCTTTCTATTTATTCATGATTTTTCATGCTTGGGTATATTAAGCCGTATCATGATATTTCATATCCAGCACCTGGATATTAATAAAGTACATATGAAATAATCATACAGTTTAGGGTTCCCATTTCAACCATTTTATTTTAACCTTGTTATTCTGATATGTTCTATCTTGTATAGGCCCTGACAGAGAAAATTTCATTGAATGCACGACAGTTCAGAGCGCAACTTTTACAACACAGCGCAACTTGCCACATCTTAAACACTTTCAGCTAGTTTTCTGGTCAATATCTATCTTAAATTCCATGATAAAGACCACTCCAAATCAGTCTCAAACAATTTTTTTTCAAAATTGCTTTCTTTGTTCTATTCTGATTTTATGACATTACTATAGCAATTTTATCAGATAACATGAATCAGTACTTGTCTATGTCGTAAATTACCAAGTAATCAACTTTACATCATTAAAATCTGCAAATTTAATGGACATATGAAGCGACTTTTGGTCAAGAGAGACTCAGATCATAGAGCATCCAGCTTTGCCAAAGCACGAATCAAAGAATACAATCAAAAATTCATTTTTTGGTACAACTTTTGGGGAAAAATTGCAACTTTCTCTCGTATCAGTAGGGCTAATTCGCAAAATAAGAGTTCAATTTTTCTATTGTTATTATGGGTGCAGTTCACTCTCTGATGATGTCAGTACAAAGATGACTTCCATCTGATGATGTCAGTACAAAGATGACTTCCATCTGAGTGTTTAGTTTTATGAACAATTGTGTCAGATGATTTAATAAATAAGGAAGATCTATAAAAGATATTGCAGATCTATAATAATCTGAGATATTCTGGAATGTATTTTGTTGAATTATGTGGTATTGATCCAGATCTATCTCACATTTTATATTATCATTCGTTACAAACTATGCACCCATGTATCACCCAACAACAGAGGTAACATTTAAAACATTATATCAGTTCCTTGAGATACATTTGCCCTTAAGTGCTCATAATATTTTTTGCTGTTGGGAGTTGTGAAATATATAACATGCAAATAACTGTTCGCCAGGTATTTAATCATTTATTGATAATAGAAACAGGAACCTTTAATGCCAAATGGCATATAATGATTTATGGTAGGTCATTTACTATTTCCTGGAATATGATTTGTCAATATAGTTCTAGAGCTCTCCTCCCATGAGTCCCCTGCTTTGTTGGCATATATTTCTGTATGTGTGGCGTTGGGGGCTTTGCAGTCCAGTGTTTTAACCTGTTTAGCCTGTTCATCCAGAATTATATTTTTCTAAATTTATTTATTTATTTCATTATTAGTCTATATTATTAGTGAAATGACAAAATGAGATATTAATGCTTTGAATGTTGGCAGTAATGAAGATATATTCCCATTAACAAAATATCAAGTGTTATAAGTGCTATAAAGAGGAAGTGCAGTTTAAAGAGAAGAATAAAGGAAACTGTAACATGACATCACTTCTTTATTCTCATGACATGTCAGAAATTGGTAACCTGACATTTAAATGCTGAAACT